AATTAGTGAATTGCATGATATGTGAATTACATGCCAATAAAACTTAATGTTTCATTTTAAAAACAGGGTACTTAATAACAACAACAAAAAGGATGCATTTTCAAAGTCATTCTGAGCAAAGACAAATACTAAAATACCTACTATTTGAGACTGTAAGACGAATGATAGTAACCATGGTACACTAAGAAGACTAAAAACATATTACGAATGATGGTAAAGCTCACGCTACTCTAAAAGTTCTGGCTTAAAGTTTGCAATTTATCTTGGAAACACAGCTAGAAAAGAATATAGAATCAGCAAATTTATAATAATGTATTTAATGTGCCCAAGTGACACTTTTTAAAAGGAATTGCATTGTTTAACAAAACTATATGTAATTAGTGTATATATTGGCATGAATACCCATAAAAAACATAAAATAAGGGTTAATATGAAAATAGAAAATAAATTTAAAAGTCAGTGAAGTGTTAACTACTTAGGAAGCAATATCAAGGTTAAACCAAACAATAGTCCCGTGCCATGAGTATTAAAAATGTTTATTTTTACTTCAAAAGAAAAATATAACACTAAGTGTATTTTATGTAGCAGTTCAAAATTTAAAGGAAAAGATAAAATTTATATTTTAAAATAGCAAATCGAAATACTTGTTAAAGTGAATTATTTTTTCAAACAATAAAAGATCAATGACCAGTATATTTAATATATTTAACAGCTAAATTATAACTTTGAAATATCTAAATTGATTTAATAAATATAATTCTAAAAACATTAAATTTCCTTAGTATTTTGCATATAAACACATTGAACAAGGGGAAAAGATACTTAAAAAAATCAGACAAAAAACTTCAATTGAATCAAAATTAAACATCAATTTTAATGTAGTTACGATCTGCAGAAACTTGTCAAGCATCAATATCATATCTCTAGGATTCATTTGCTAAATCCTCAAAGCAATTTGTTTACTCACAGAATTCTGTATTTACCTCAAATCTAGAAAAACTTTAATTAATTTTATTTAAAGGTCATATGTTAATTTTATAATTAAATTTAAAATGCATGTTTTAAGCATTCAATATCCTAACTTCACTAGATCATTAGTTTTCAAGTTTCAGCTTAAGAGCAGTAAGAAAACAGGGAAAAGCTGAACCATCTATGTAGCAACACGTACTGGAAACTAGTATTTCATACAGAATGTTTTCTGTTGTTGTTCAAGGAAAATAATCTTAAGATGTTAACATGCTTGGTTTGGTCTAGTGAAGAGTCTGTAAAAAATTAGGACAAGAATGCAATATTAAACAAACAAACCTGGCAACGAAGGAGAAAGTTCATTGTATCCTCCAAATGAAGCATTCCGGACGAGCTTTCGGCCATCAGTTCGTGGAGGAAATAAAACAGGAGAAACCCCAGCACATGAAGAAAATCTACGCTGTTGTGAGCTTTCTTCTTTCATGGCTTAGAAGGTCTATTTAATGTATATGTTCACCCAGAAGGCTAACTCGAGGGGTACAGCAATGACAGGCTTTTCTCTCACATCCAAATGCAGCAAAACCCACCAGCACAAACAAAGAGCACACACATTTACCAGCAAAGGAAAAGGACCAGAGACTGTCAAATCAGCAATAAACAGATAGAGAAAGGGACAGTCAGAAGAAGCATTAAGCCATGATGCTGATTTCTTTTTAATGAACTGATAAACCAGAGCACTATCTGCCAGTGTTCCACCCTTTTGTGAAACCAGTAATGCACTGAATGCTGCTTTAGGAAGACAAAGCACGATCAATAGTTAGGGATTCAGGAATGGAGTAGCAACACAGGTTTCTCTTCTTTTCTAAACAATGCAGGCCCTTCGTCACATCCATTACTTTTGCTACTGTTCACCACGCTTCTCACTTCTTTCAACACTTTCTTTTTGAGCTTTTTCTTACTTCAAAAATGGATATAAACACAATTGTGTTGATCTTCCCTGAAGCTTCTAGATTTATATCTGATCTGCTTACCTCAGCCATGATTAAGAATTTATAAGGAAAGATATTCTTTCAAGTACAATTTTGATGAATAGCTAAGGCAGAGAATAAACATTTTAAGTATCATTC